GTTCTAGCATATTAGGCCGAGCACCCAATCATCGTGCCTTCGCAAAGTGTACACTGTACACCCCTGAACGGCCCTGACTGGGGACGCGATGTGCAGTAGGGCTAAGGTAGATAGTTGCAAAAAATCTGAACTGCGTCGCAAACAAACACAAAAAAAACGCAAAAAAACTTTATTCAAAAGTTGTAACCCGAAAATGTGAAGTCAAAAGTAGTTGCAAAAAGTTCCAAAAGTTCTGGCGAAAGACTCAAAAATACTTGCAAAAGAAGTGAAAATTTTTAAAATGGTGAGCACGGAGTTCCCTGAAATGCACACGTATTAGTATCTTGACTACCATATTGCTGAGTGGTATGGGAATGTAGAGGTCTCTCCGAATTTAGAACGAAATGCTTTTGAATTGGAGCCCAGTTTATGGGCTCTCCAAGCACGGTCTCACAAGGAAAGGATGCCATTCGAAATGAGACGTACAGTGCCCGATGATTACAAATCTTCTTTGGACGGTGATTACAAATCTGATTGCTTTGGACGGTGATTACAAATCTGCCCTCCATATCTGATAAACGGTTTCCTGGACAAAGTGACAAGTGGACGAGTGTGATATTCGTGTTCTGGGGCTCAAATTAGCCTTAGAGACAAGTTTTCAACCAAATTTGGTGACAACTGCGGGTGACAACTCAATGTTCAGTGTTGAGTGAGATGTCGCGCGAATCGCTGAGATTACGCCTGGTGGAGATGATAGAAACCGAAACAAGTATTTGGGATATCAACTGCGACGAATACCATTTATTGGGAAAGAAAACTGCGGCATGGGAAAGAATACTCCGGAAACTGCAGAATGAGAGCTTCAATGTTTCTAGTAGGTTGAAGTCCTTCTACGAATATTCTCCACTGCGAAGTCGCATTACTCATCTCATCAATTGCAGTGTCAGAGATACAAGGGGCATGGAAGAGCATTAAGGATGCTCGGCGAAAAAGGAAAAGACTGGAGGCGACAACAGGATCACCAGCCCTAAAAAAGTGGAAGTACGAAGAACTACTGACATTTTTGGACCGAAATGACTACGATGGGTATGTCAGCAGAATACGGTTTCTGCTACGTCCAACTGAACTGTTGTTCCAGGAGCACGATATCCAATATCGACATAAATGGCAATTTCTGTTTAACGGAGCAACTACCGCTTGAAAAGGAGGTGGAAGAAGAACGTCTAAAATTGGGACCAAAAGAAGAGAAATCAAAAAAATCGAAGCAGGATGGTAAGGCCTTGAAAGGGAACAAAAGAGAGTGAACTGAGTGGAAGCCTTCCAAATCCAATTTGTTCCAGAAGCGCTATGTATGATCAAGGAAGCAGCTGCGGCCGTAAAAGCGCAGGTGGAGAAAAGGGAAGCCCCCAGCAAGGAAAAATCAGATGACAGAATTGAATTTCGGGATAACAAGTACTGGTACTTCGGTGTGTATT